GCATCCCTCAGACGGGATTGATTAACGCCAAAGACTTTATCCTTTATTATAATAACGGTATGACATTAAGTTTGTTCAAGGTTAAGTCTAAGTGCATGCCACAGCGGATGCCAATATATGCAAAAACAGGCTCCAGTTCTTTCTTCGTTTTGATGTGCGTCAGCTCGAAGCTAGATTTTTAACACGTTGGCGACCATGTGTCCCGATGCCAAGACGCAGGATAAAAGTGATAATATTCTGTAATCTATGTTTTTTTGTGGCAACGCTACTACAATGGACTGAGGAGTCTATATTACCCGTGGTCCGGGTAGAGCTAAAGTCAAAAGGGAGATATCTCAAGGTTGCAATCAACCTTTGGGAATGTCTAAACTCAACATTTTAAAAATTTGTTCGGTAATCAATAATAACAATAACAACAACAAAAACTAGAGACAGACTGGAGCAACTAGTGTGCACCGTTTGGAAGCATTCAAGGCAGTAAAAACCCTTGCATTGGCTGCATGCAGTCTTGACCCTCTTCACATTGTTTGCTGCCGCTTTTCTACCGTTTATTACCATTTCCTCGTGTATTTATCATTTAATTCTGTTACCTTACTTACCTTTAAAACCAGGAAAAAAATGGTCCCGTGGGACAATGCGTCCTGGGGTGAGGACCCATTAAACAATGCAAAAAAATGACTTAGTCCCACGTGGCGCGCGGTCAAAAAAGGCTGCGGTCGCCAAAGTGTTAAAGTTGGATACATGACTGGATTAACCCGAAAAACTCTCTATGATGTTTTTTTTGGAGCTACGAAAAGCTTATTCTGGAACAGCTTACACTTTGTCCAAAAATGAGAAGATAGCAGCGGGGAAGTGATAAACGCTCCGCAGGCTTTGTGCGGCCGACTTCATTAAAGGTAAGCGTTTCCTGTCCTGCGTGACTCTTACTTCTTGTTCGCGTCCCCTCTTAGTGTATTCAACTCCTTTCGTTACCTCGCCGAGTTAAATTAAGGGCTGCAACGGATACTGTTCGGTTCCTCAAAATAAATGTTTCTCGGAGGCAACACTTTAAAGAGAACGCCGTAATTTCAGTACAACCCTAACTTCCTCTCTTGCGATCTTGGGTCGGCATCTTCTCCCCGAACGGCGTGTCGCACTCACCGCACACGATCACGCGTCATGAAGGGAAAGATTTGAATTCCCAACGGAAGGATACGGAGAGTAGCCGCGGAACCACTGCCGCAGGCCGTGGAAATTTGGGTAGAAATTCCGTTACACGGCGATCTTCCAAGTAGTGGTCCGCCAGGTGCAACTCACGTGATCGTCGCATGCTATGGAGCGATAAATACATATGCGTTGAATTAGCAGTGGCAGGGAAGTGAGCCGAGAATCGTGTAAAGACCTGAGGACCATTCCAGTTGATCTGTGAGTCATCGAGCGGCACTTGTTCTGAGGAGCGAGCAGTACATGCTTTTTTCGAACACTGAGAGCTAGAGTGCAGAGGAGGGGTAGCCGACCTGACCTGTACCTAGAAACGGTTCTAGGCGAAAGAATATGGTCTCAAGCTAAGCCTTAGTAGGGGAGGAGCGGCGGGGTAGGGGTGGGATGATTATCTCGTGCAAAAAAAAACTAGGAGGGGCATGTGTTGAACATTCAATTGACTCACCCACCTAGGTACCCCTTCCCTCCTAGAGCATGTTGTATGTAAGTATGTAACTGTATATTCTCGTCTAAGAAACTTTGAAAAGCATAATTATGAGCTACCCTCCTTATGTTGAAATTATGCTGAAAAATAAGCGGAGGTCTCCTAACGGCATTATCACCTCCGATTTTTGTAAAGAAGTGAAACCAGTTATGAAGTACCCCTTCACTCCACAGTACTCACTTCTTTCCGCAGTACTCGCTATACCCAATTAACCTACCCACCGAGTTACTGCCCTATATATAAGGATGAAGTTTAGAAATGAGCAAGTTTTCCATATCATTACCTTTATCGTAATCATAAGTTTTGCGGACGGACAGATCGACAAACCGACACACCAACAATAAGTTTCTGCTTTATAAATGAGAGAGATTATCTAGGCTTAATAACCGAAGTTTGAGGTAAACGATTCCTACGGCGCGATAAAGTGGTGATATCTTGTCGTGTGATAGTGTTGGTGACAAGATTAACGACTATCCGAAATATACGCTGAATCCGTGACGCAAGTTAAGCGGCTATCCTCGATAAGGCTAGTCCTCAAAGTGTTTGTCCTTTCCGCAGTGCACTCTATGGGATTTGTAAGCTCATCCTATCGTTTCAGAGCCCCAGATTACGCCTACTATCCTCCCCTCCTCCCCCTCCCCCCTTCGAATGCATACAGAAAGAAAATATGGACTTCGAACGCTCATAGAAAATATTGGGCAGGATATGCCACAATCAGCTTTTGATTCACGCTATTTAACATCCGAGAAGATACCTGTATACCTGTATGGGCAGAGTGCCAGGTTTTCGGTATACATTCGGATCTATGAGAATGTAAAGAACGAAATGTTGTTTATACTTAATGTATTTACCACATCACACCTAGAAGCTGTTACAAAGCCTTATGCCGGTTATGCGTGGAAGAGACGCTAAAGCTTTCTGGAAGACTACGGTAAGTGAAATAAAAAATGGAACTGTGTACACACTAGGCACAGAAAACTCAAACACCGGTTATATTAAAGAGATTATGAAATTCGTACTACAAGGGGAACTGAAGCGAGAAAGATCACAAGTGGAGACAGATCTACATACAGACTGAATCCCAAGAAGCGAGAGATATCACGCATAAAACATCCGTAGAGATGTGCAGAAAAATTATGCTCAATATGGTCCGCACACATTGCACATAAAAGGAATTCAGAGTTAAAATATACCGAAAATTGTATTGAGGGAAAAGCCAACATTGATACGCGATTCACGGGGATATGCACTTGTATAAATTTTGGGAGAGACAAAACAAAGAGAATTCACGATACGGGCAACATGTCTCACGGGCAATCGCTGAGTGAAGGTTGACACTTCACTTATCACCTGTCGACACAGAACAACCAAACAATTATTAGACATATATAATACTACTTTAAGGACCTGCAAATCTCATTCCATCATAATTGAAGATCTTTCGTCGGATCTCAATCAGTGAACCTTGTAAACAGTAGAAAATTCCGCTATTAATCTGATCTACGAGAACATCAGTGATGCCATTTTATCTAACGAGGCCTACGTACCGGATGTGGTAAATCGTGCAGTGCCGCGTTAGCCGAACACGATCGCGTGCAGTCGCGCACTGTCAGGGAAGATTCGAACCCCTGGGGAAGGTTACGGTCATTGCCACGAGACCACTGCCGTTTGCGTGGAACTTCGGATACAAACACTGTCACCCTACGTATCCGCTAGCTAACGGATACGTTTGTTTCTGGTACACTCACAAGCATAAATTCGATTCACAGTCGAAGTGGTGACGGGGCAGCAGGAGAGTCAAGGTCTTCCGAAAGAAATGAGCTGTTGACGAAACTCGCGTTCAGCACTCCACCGCTTGATTTCCGGGATGACGAAGTGGCAACGGAAGCCCGCTTCACTAAATATCAAAGAATTATGAAGGCTGGGAGAGAGGCATCGGAATACAAAATATAGCACTAAGTTGCGATACCACAACGTACAAAATCAATTAGCCTACTAAATAGTGCAGCACAATAATGACCATTTACCTGATGATTTTTTTAGTAGAGCCGCACTTGGGGCACCAGACATCTTCAAATCCAAAGGTGCAACCGACGGATTGGAACCAAGAAGAGGGAATGATCTCTTTTTCTTCTTCGACATATTAGTCTTGTCGCTTGAGGTGCTAAAAGCGGTAGTAAAAAGCAAGAAACAAGAGCCGGCAGAAACAACTGGTTTGTAGTAGTTGTGCAGCATAAAATGAGTCTAATCCAGCACGTTTTGTAAGAGCTAGAGTAGCCAAAGTACATCGTTAAAAGTAAACGAGAGATTGAACCCACCTGCTGCACATTTCAGCCTCGCTCCCATCCGTCTCCACTTCACTTCCGCTGCAGGGTAGGTCAAAACTGAAATAATTGCTTTATTTGATGGGAAATAACCAACATTGAGATTGGCAAGAACTGTGGCAGAAAGGAAAGTTGAGAATTGGAAGTTGAGAATCCGTATTTGAAAATTGAGAATTGCACGCCAGGCATGAACATGATGGTATTACCGGCGCGTGGACTTCAACAATTGGATTTGTTAGTGAGTAAGTAGTTGCAAACTCAAAAACGACTATTCAGGGTCCGACCCTTTACCATCTACCAAGTATAGAACTATAACGTCGAAGAAAGTACTCAAAATCGGAAGACAACAAAGCACTTTCCACTGGTTTCGTAATCGACTAAGCCTCTACTTCTTCGGATGACCTGAAAAGTGCGGTAGTCCATGCTCTCGTGAGGTTTTCGATGAGCTTTCCGTCCACAGGGTGCCATGCTTTTACGACGGTTTCCTTGAGTTCATGGACGTTCTCAAAGCGAGCGTACATATTAGGTTGAGTAGTAGGTAAAACCTGGCTATGTTACCGATGTTCAAAACTAAACTTTCTTCACAAGCAACTTTACCGAGGGCGATATTCACTACATTTCTATACAGTTGTACCCCATCCACTGAATGTTGAATGGGTAGTTTTTCACCAAAACTCTGCCGTCTTCATCGCGAGACGACCATTTTAGGATGCTTGCGATCGAGTCTCTGTTCTCTAGAAGTAAGCAAGCGCGCAAAACAAGGGCAATTGGCTGGTGCGAGATTGGGAGAATAAGTTGAGCGAAAACTACGGAACCAAGATCCTGGATTATCCTCTGAGTTTCTTTTGCAACGCGTGGACGTATGTTGTTGTGTAGAAGTTGCAGGCTTGGTCTATAGGGGCCGCGGCTTGCGATTCCGTCGCTCAATGCAGGTCTTCGAAAAAGTCTATTTCTAGCGTATTCAGTGTTTTCTAGAAGGACATTCTTTTCCTGCACATTCTAGTGCTTTATTGAAGTTTACAACAAATTTTCATGTTTTTCAAAGTTGCTAGAACTAGTCATGAATCATAGGACCACAGGATGATTCTGCAGCTTGCGCTGTCCACAAAAAGTGCACACGGAATTTTCCAAAAAGGGTGAACTGGAATCATGAGATTCTTTTCCAAACTGGGCTCCACAAACGCCCAACAGTAACGACATACCAGTAAGGATACTCCACAAAAATTCCATGAATACAAAAACACGGTTCAGAACAGGGGTCTGAAATGCGATTGGGCGGGCAGGGAAGTATTCACATCCATCCACAGTTAGAATGCTACAATGAAACTTTTCACATCCGAATAATGCTTACCGTTTCTTCTCCTTATCCTTGCTCTTTTTCGGTTTCGGTGTCCTTGGACCCTCGATAAAACTGGGAGTACTGACCTTTCTAGCTGATGGATAAGAATCCTTAAAAACCAAACTGTAAGTCGCAATCTGTCCCACGTCCTTGGAAAGTGAAGCCTACCTGTTTATCTGCAAAAACGTTGCACACGGGCTGCACATTGAAGGGTTGATTTCTGTCGACCAGTGAGACTTTGGGAGTATCATTTGAGGGATTTGGTTGCAAAGCCTTTGAAGAGAGCTTTGAAAAAAAGAATTGTAGCGCGTCAATAGTGATGGCACGTCGTACTAATAATTACTTTCGGTTCATTAGTAATTCTCATCAATGCCATTCTACTTCAAATTCCACTTCCTGCGCTAAAGCGAATAAAAGACTTCATGCCTGATACGTCTTCGACAGATCTGACTGGATGCTGAGTAACGCAATGTAATCTTTATAATAGGCTACATATAGCGACTCTCCACAGTGCTTTAAGTTGATCTCACAAACCATCCTACTTGCAAACAAATAGGTTCGTCTCGGAAATGTAAGCAAGACTCCCTGATTCCTCTACGCCCATATGCTTCTCGGATTAAAATATTAACAGTCGTCAACAATCCCTATGAAAATTTGTTCACTACCGGGTTTGCCCGTAGGCTAAAGAAAACATCAAATAATCAATTTCCATACAAATAAAGACACCAAAGATAAAACTAACAAAAATGCCTATTAGTCCCTACTCTTCTAGAAATTGTATAAGTGTGAAAAGATTGCTGAGACATCAAAAAATCTTAAACTGTCAAGGAACTCAAAAGGAAAACACTTATGTTACAATTTTGCCAGCCCAACGTTTTCAAATGAAACTCGCAAATAATTAAAATATAAGCTTTTTTGTTTTCAGTAAAGTCAAAGCAGAGGTGATGTAAAAAGGCAATAAATTTTGCAACGTACCACGTGTTTGGCGACAGAGGTTGTGGGCAAAACGGGGTATTGTACCGTACATGTAGAGCGAGTGGAAGCCGCAGGTGGCGGCTGTGTGAGGCAAGGAATCGAGGGCGATTCTATCGCTACCGTGGGTTTGGCGGCAAATCGCGGAACGGCCGTTAGAGGCGTAGATTGACGAGGAAGAGTTGCAGGAGCGAATCCGCATACCAACTCGTTAGGTTGGCTGGCGGTCATTCTGTAACGTTAGAAGAATTCGGAAACAAGAAAGACTGTTTGGATAGGCGCTCGAACACTTCAATCCTCACCTTGACACATTGCTGGGCTCATAATATCCGGCAGCCACATTTCTGTCACATTCCTGCCATTTCAGTGAATCAGCAACGTTAGGCTGAACAAAACATACGCATTGAACATAACATTGTTAATGCCACAAAACCTTACCAATACTGGCGATATTTTTGGCGTGTCATCGGAAGCAGAAATCATGAAAGGGTTAGTACATTTCCGCGATGCAGTTGAATTCAAATCCGGGTCAACAAATAATGATTTTGAGACCTGCTGAAGCTGTCGAGAAGAATCCTCGTCGAAAACCTCCTGAAAATTTACTATTACAATCATCTCTTCATATTGTTAATGAATGGCAGGCATGAAAGGTTGTATAGTTCACTGTCCCTTTTCCTAAACTATCAATCCAAGTAAATGAGAACAGTTTCATCGACAAATTTCAAGCTGAGCTATGAGTATTTTAAATTGTACAAAACGAACCGCAACCAACCACTAGCCACTAAGTGAATTGATCAGTTACGGTTTAGTTTTCAGTAGAATTATGGTTTTAACAAAACGATTAAGTGATCAACTCGCTGACTTCTTCGTCATCATCAAGAGCATCGTCTTCAAGGAGAGGCCGGCTTCCAGCGCAGTCATCATCGCTGGGAATGCCAACAACGTCAGTATGTTGGGACGATTCACCGTCGCCATTGAATTCATCGAAAGACGACTCCTCATTCTTAATATTCAGCAGATACAAATACACTGGTAGGGTTTATCCAAAAAACTGCATTCAACATCAACTCCAAGCAGTAGACAGCAACAATGAAATGAATCTAATGCAACAAAGGGCAACAGTTTACAATTCGAATGAGGCTTATGTACTACTACTATTCAAAAGTGGATCAGGTACCCTTTTAAGAGAATGCTTTATTCACTGCTGGGATGAACTATAAAAGCTGCACCTCACTCATCTCGAGGAGCGTATTAAAATAACCTGATGTCATATCTCTCAACATCCTTCGAAAGATCGCGCTCTTTAAGGCATTAAAAAAGCAAGACCGCCCGCATTCCAAAAGATAGGCCTCGAATCAAACACAAACGTTCACCAAGGAACTCTGCGTTAAGACGGCGCAGCTGAGAATAACTCTAGTCAGCGCAATCGGAAACGTGATGGACATTAGATCAAGTCCCAATGGAACACTCACCTTACTGATATCATCAGTGCTATCATGGTCAGTTCTTCCACGGCTGTCGCTGCTGGCATCATCACCAACACCATCGATGTTTTCATAGCTAAAGCGTCTTCGGGCAACCATCCGTTGTTCGTCTTGTTCACTATCATCTTCCTTAAGCAATCACCTTCTCGCAGTAGATCTCCGAAAAATCACGCCAGATGAAAGAAACTCTTGTACCCACCGTAGCACGCTCATGGATGTCAGAAACTGAACCAACAGAATCTGCATCCCCACGACCGGAGCCTTTCGCTTCGTCTTCTAGATAACGCTGTTATTCAGCCATACTGCTTTTTGATTTCCTATCCTAGTAGAACTCACCTGGTTGGCCCGCTTCAGAAAAAGGCACAAATGGTGCTGCACCAAATGGATCCGTAGAGTCAATGGAACATCGATCAAAGTCACCTGACGAATCTAACAATTCGCAGCCTGCAATGGCCATATTATCGCACAATTCTATTGAATATAAATGTACTTTTTTAAAAGCATATATATAAGATTGTCTCAAAAGTTCGTGCCAAGCTTTTGAAAAAATTTTCTGTATGGTCAGGTCATTGGGATAGTGAAATCAACGTACAAGATATTGATTACGTTTGCCTCAGCTGCCGATATCCGCTAGAAAGTGATGGATAAAAACTTCACCTCCGCCACTCTATGCTGTATGAGTACGGATTGGGCCAAAAACGCAGGTGAAGCCACCCAGTGGCGCGGTGACGATTTCGCTCAGGCGATTGTGGAGGACAAGCCTCGCCCAGGAAGGTCATCTGCCGTGGACTTGGATGGGCTACGCTATCTTATAGAAGCTAATCTTTACGAAACGATCAAGACTCTTTCAATGACACTCGAACACTGTTAGTTTAGACCTAGGGCGTTCAAATCTTGTAGGAGTTTGGGTGGGAAGATGGGAACACTGTTGATAGTGGTAGACTAGAATCCGACCACAAGGGCTGGGCGTAATCAAAAATTGTTAATTTGAACCCGGGGCGTTCAAATATGGTGAGAATGGATGCGGAAATGCTGGTGAAAGTGACACGATCTGACTCCGCCCTTGAGGGGGGGGGGGGGGGGGGGGAATGCAAGAAAATTACTAATTTGGACGTTCGAGCACAGGATGTCACTTGTACCGGTGTGTATGTTTCGCTGAAAATCAATAGCCCCTGTTCTCTTAGACCAGAGCTTTTAAGGGTGAGAGAATCCAGGCGGCGAGCCAACTTTAACACAAGCACGAGGAGAGCCTGGCGTCTGCCGGAGACCCGACTGGTTGTCTCTATAACCATGGAAATTACACGTGAAGGTACTTGTTCTTGAAACATCCCACAAAATACGTGGTTTTGTTCGAGTAACTTGAATTCAACCTTTGTCCTTCTCCGACTTTCGTGGCAGTTCGTCAAAGCACCTTCCAAAATGGCTATCATCCATGGTGGGTGAACTGCCGAACGGAGCCGCCAGAAATGGATTCCAAATATCATCCTTGAATCATTAGAATCAATGTCATTAGGAAAACCGAAAGAGTTCCTTCCAGAACTCACTTTAGCCTTATCTGAAACATTGTCCAAGCCTGAACTTGACAGCGACGTTTGGTTATTACTGAGGGTTGTTATGCCTTTCCACTGGCTGTAAGGCCTGAAAATTCTCTTTGTCTAAAACATCGTTACTCAAGAAAAAAGACAAAAAACACATGAAGACGGCTTCGGGGTCCCCGTTAGCGCATTCGAGCTGTGCTCGGACTTGAATTCCTGCGAAAAAGTTTGGACATAGGAGCGGTGGTCACTTCGTAATCGTTGATTCTCGGAGATTTCTATGACAACAACCGGGCAAAAATTGTGTGGAGCTGTCAGCTTACTGATTGTCGGCTCTTCAGCAAACGCTGTGGTGCACACGGTATCGACGGAGATCAGTCTTGCTGATATTTTAAGATAATCACCTCTGTTAGACCCAAATAAAATTGGTTTCTTTGAATCGAACAATCTTCCAGTAGTCTAACAACGTCAAAGACGTAGAAATTGATAAGCGATGAACTGTTTATCCTCGTAGAACTTGCTTCAGTCAGGGGCCTTGTGATAGAGTCAAAAAACATCGTACAATAAGCAAGTGACAAAGTGAATTACTTGAAGGCACTGCGAATGATGTGAGAAGTGTCACTTGTATTCCGCCGATGAGAGTGGTAGTTCGTTGTGTTGCTCTTTTCTACAACAGGAAGCGACGAAGTAGAAGAAGCTGATCCTTCCAAAGTCGAACCACTGCAGCCTGCTGAAAAATGAAACAATAAGGGAACAAACTAGGAAACTATTCATTAGAAGTCGCATTTAAGGCAAGCTCTTTCGTATTGAAGATTAATGATCGGCGAATCTTGGGTATTGTTTTGATGTATGTTCGCAAGACACAACCAGGAGAAAAAAAACTAGGAATCATAGTTGGGTCAGGCAATACAAGAGTTCTTTTTCAGAAAACAGCGAGAGTATGTAACGCTTGACCTTGAGCTACTGGCTGAGACAACAATTTTTCTTTTCATGAAAAATAACATACCATGCTGCATGTCAACAAATGGATTTGGATTTGACATAGTATTGGAAAAGGTAGCACTACTGAGATATCCAGAAGACTTCACTGCAGTTTCTGAATAGGATCAGTGAAAATTTGTAAGGAGACTTCGTGAGCAAGATGTCATCCAAGACATACAAATAAATTTACGAAGAAGACTTACCTAAATCTGTGAAACCCAAATCAGAAGGATGGACAGACGAGACTGGAACCTCGACATTTCCTAAAATAGTATCCTCAAATCAAGTTATTCGTAAGAAACAAAGGTCAACGGTATGTTTCCAAAAAGGGAGGATTGTATTCACTGTAAAACTCCTCAACAGCCTACAGAGTGGACTGTTAACAAAATAGAGAAAACAGGGCAACTAAATCCATAAAATGCTACCGGCTTTTTGTGCAGGCAGATTCGAAAATGCAGTGAATTTCCACAAAAGTTCTGCTATGAAAGCATTCCAGATAAAGAATGTGCTACGACCTTAGCGTGGTTTTTTTTTCTCAAAAAGACGACATGCAACAAAGTTCGATTGAAGTAAGGGTCGAACTTGACGGACAGAAAACAAAAATGGGGTTTTCGGAAGTAAAAAATATTCAGCTGTACAAATTTCTGCAGTTAGGCTTGATATTCGAACCTTGCACCATCTTCACTACAGAATTGCCGAGAGTCCCAATTTCATATAAATAGGAATATCTTTTTAATCGAAGGCTATTAACGAAGAGCACCCTATATTGTGAACTAGATATATGTCGTTTGGAATAAGTGTTGAATAGTTAACACAAACAAATGGCAGTAAAATATAAACTATCGAAGGGACGGCAGTGATACAGCAAAAATAAGTAGGTATTTGGCGCGAGAAACGTGTAATCTCACCTTCCCTAACTTCAACGCCAGCTCCGGTTTCGGCATTCTTACTGATGAAACTGTCTTGAGGCATTGTCTGCAATTGATTATCATGACTATTGAGAGGAGACTTCTAAATTGAATAGTAAAACAAAATGTAAGGAGAAAGATCCATATTTTAGCAAAGCAACCCGTAAATAATGTGCGATGAATTGGGCACAAAACATCGCAACGCTTCCCGCATTTCATAAGGCTATTTTGTTTCATTTTTTCTACTTACATACCCCTTATACCTAAACCAAAAGAAGAGAATGAATATGAAGTAAACGAACTGAGAGTTCTGCCCTAATTTGGTTCACATTTCTCCATACAGAAGTGCCTCGTTCTCAATATGCATTTCAGGAAAGAAGGCTGTAACTCTGGGGCGTCATTATATACGAACATGGGGCGAGAACTAGAGTCATTCATACCTTGACATTTGGGAGCACAAACGGAGTTACTGGAGTACTGCTAAGCGGCTTCGGACGAAGACGAGGTAGGACGGACGTTGTTTGCATAGAGGGATCATTGGACGCTTTGTTAGGAACAAGTGGGGCGACAGGGACGGCTGGAAAGAATGACCAATTCGTGGACAGTGAAATAATACGTCGTTAACAGAAATGGAAAATTTGAACGAATTCCCTCATTCTCTCAATGAATCACTACACCCTAAGTCAGAGCGCCATCACTTTGCTAAGAAGGACGTCATCAGACGTATGGAATCTGTTTAACACAACTGATAACCTATGGAACGGCTTAAGATGGGATTTTACAAGAATTGCTAAGATAAATCGACGAATGCCTTCAAAGTCTATCTTAGTAAAGTTCTCCAATGAAGCTCTAGCGAATTATATTTCTCAGTTATACTACGCTTCACGCGTGTATCTTGTTATGATTATGTTTCTGTTGTCATTTGGCAACCACACATGCTTGACATGTAATAAATAAATAAATAGATAAATAAATAAATAACTATGTCTCCTTGTTTGAAAAGTTGAAATTGTTCATATGCTCCCGAATAAGTTGAGGGTCAATAAGACTCCAGGGGAAATAAAGTTGAGCGTGGTTGGCCTGAGCTGGTGTCAATCCGGGGTTCGATCCCCGTACCCTTCGCATCTAATACGCCATTCGGTCCTGAACAGCTTCCCCTACCCTGCTCTATAGGCAGAGAAAATATCACTAATCCAAAAAAAATCAAATTTTTCGTGGCCGTTCTAGATACGTTACAGGTTGCAGTTATAGAGTTGTTGATGCTGTAGCTAGAAAGTCTAGAAGAGTAGCGAAATGCCTTAAGTGCCTTTCGGAATGTTGATTACGATTAAAAAATTGGAATGATTGGAAGTAGATACACGAATCGTTGTTTGACTAAAGCTTTAGTAAAGGTGTTCAAAAGGATGTCAAGATTCAGAAAGAATATCATAAGAAATCGTGTGAAACGACATAACTACAGTCACTGACTGTACTGCGTAGGTGTTCTTTATTACAAAGTTGTAAAAATTTCGAACAAGAACTCACATTGGTCTTCTTGACACTCCGGAGGGAGCGCCCTACTACTGGGTTCATTTTTAGGTTCATCATCAAACAGGTAGTGACGGCCAGAGAGAGAGGACTGGATTGCTACGGTGAGAGATGGCTTGCGACAGTTCTTCAATGTACGTTTATTTTGGATTAAATCATCACATCTTCACTCCGAAGTACTTACCCTGACATTTCTAACTGGGCAGACACGATCGGCAGCAGCAAATGCCAACACTGAGCACTGATAAATTGTGGGCCTTCTGTCCACGTCCGCGTCCAGAAGGCATCCTTTAAAAAGTTTTAACTAGGAGTCATAGTCCGATTTTTCGATAAAGAACTGGTGATATAAAATATATAAAGTACATGAAAATATAAAATATAAAATTGAAATAAACGAGCAATGAATGCTGTTGGCTCACTAATTATAGCCTTCAACGAGTCCGGATGCTGTGCTTCACTTGGGAATGAAAAGGCTCCATTCTGTATCGCCATAGCAGATTCGCCAAATGGGAGGCAAAAGTAGCACAATTTATACAGCATCACTCCCATTGCCCATATGTCAGCTTTTGTTCCTAATAAAAAATACAGTTGATTTCTTATCAAGAACGCTATTTTCACAGAGGCATTTGGTTTTAATCCAAGAATTAGACTCATTGAAAAATCCAGCAAGAAAATCGAGGAAGCTTCTCACCAAAGAATTGTACAATGGGGGAAAATCTCAACACCATTCACTATCAGAACCGCAGACCCAAATACTACAGCTATTCTTTGCATTGAAAAAAGAACCTACCAATTGGCTTCCCACAATAAAGATCAATCATTTCCGGTGATCTATAACTGAGTGTTGTATACTTTTCTATTTCGTCCTGTATGAAACTTATCGAATAATTGCTGCTTGACAAAACCTAAAATTTATTTTGGTAGTGTGTACAGCGGCAATATATGATTCCAAAAGGGATGTACCTTTGTTGTAGCACTTCCGAAATCACAAAGAACATAAACTGGCGGCGCTGCACGATTTCGCTCATCCACGAGAATGTTTTCGACCTTGATTTCAAAAAATATTTCTAACACTATTTCTAACACATAAAAAAATATCTACGTTTGACGGAGATTATGAAGGATACTGGAGAGCCTCCCCATAGGAATCAATTTAAAGTACCTTCAAATCACGATGAATTATAGGAGTTACGGAATGATGGAGACGTGCAACAGCCTCACACATGTCACAAAAAATGGAAAGAACTTCATTGCTGCGTAGACTCTGTCCAAGTAAAAGACGGTCGTTCATTAGTTGCAATACGCTAGCTGAAAAAAATCGAAATCATACAGTGCACAAAAATATTTCTGATAGCTGGGGTTTGAAGTTTCGAAAGTTTTTGGAGTAAACCAGTCCCGTTCTGAGATGTGCCCCTTCATTTGACTAATCCTGCTGGTCTACGACCCTATTACAAGAGTGTCAGCCACAAGAAATTCGTCGATGCTTTCTAAAATTACAAATTCTAGAAAACGTTCTTCTATGCCTATGTCTTCTATGACTATTCTAATGCATAGACGCTGAGATTGAAAATATATCAACCATGCTCATGCTCATGTGTATTTCTTTCACAGAGAAAAATCAGTAAAACAACTTTGTTGTGAATAGCGAAGGAAGAAAACCCTTAGAATGAGATAAACCTGTCGCATTAATAAGCTCCTTTAGAAACCAGGATCTGCTCAATTTGTTTGGTTCTGTTATCGTACAGGCAAAATTTTTCACCTAACCTTCTTAGTTAGTCATTAGATAAAATATTTCGGTAACTCATAATCAAGCGGATCATCTACCAAACTTGTTCAGTCAATAAATGTAAATCTTGAAAGTACCTCAAACTCGGGTAATTAAACTGAAACCGAAATTAAAAATCACGAAAACGTGAGATGCGAAAACCTCTGGGATAATTAATTATCATTTAAAGCAAGACTTTCCGTTCCTCTTGACGAGACTTTAAAAAACTTACTTTTGTAATAAGCTGTTAGAAGCATGTAGTCGTAGATGCCACTTTTATTTTTGGTCAGGATATGATCCACATAGGCCACTATGTTCTTGTGTCCTTTCAAGCTACTCTAAAAAATTATAAACCGAGTGATACGTAACTGATACTTCGACTAGTTATTCAAACATGCCATCGCTGTCCATGCAAATTTCACTGTTTAGGAAGAACTTACACTTCTATGAACTTATCTATACATCATAGTTCAGCAAACTAAGCGATGCAAATGAGAGAGATCAGCATAATAAGTCTAGAGAATGGAGAAGATAAGAGACCATTCCCCACTGCATCGTGAAGTTCTTCCTTTCTTTCCATGATGTGTTCGACTGGTAATTTGTGGATGGAGCTATCATTACTAGGAAAAGGTAGCATCGAAGTAAGAAAATGCGGAAAGGTATTAGAGGGAGTGCTAGTGTTTTGCGCGAGATAACACTCAGTTGGGAAAATGACTATTCATAATCGATAACACTCGAAACGAAATGCCAAGAAAAACCCACAATAATTTGGAATTCTCTCCGGCACGCATCAACTTGCTTGTTGTCATCATTGATGAACTGACGCTTTAGGGCATATTTTCGATTATTTTTATCACTGACCAGATATACAATAGCAAATCCTCCTGAACATGTAAACATGATAGGAACAAGTTAGCATAAATAGATGAAGTGCAACAAAAAATCGCAAAAATGTGTTTGCCATAAAGAATAACAAGTGCGTAAGTTACCGAACTAATCCAGCACTTTGAATCATGAATTGATTGCTTGGACAGAAATTATTTCATGTATCCGTGAAACATGAAGTAGAAAACTTGATTAGGCACGACAACTACCTTCGGCAAGTTTCTTTTCAATAGTGACGGTAGAATTCTCCAATCGAAGCACGGTACCACGACCATCCTTTTCGAGTGCTTCCTTCTTGTCCTTGAATCCACCACTATCGATGCTTGTCAAAGGCTGTGGTTTCGATGAAGACCCAAAGAGGCCCAGCGGCATTACTCCTGCAATGGAAGTGGCTATTACGGATACTTTTTGCATGTTTAAGTACGGTGTGTCTAAGACAGGCAATCAAAGGAAAAGCGCAATCGATGGTTGTGCCGAGTTCACTAAGCTAATCTTGAACTTGTAGTGGAAAAATAAGAGATGACAGATATATTTCACAACATTATGGCTCTTCTAAAAGGTAGCTTGTTGGAAGCAAAAAAAACACATGGTGGTATTGCAAGATATGGAAAATCGGACAGGCTGCCCTATTACACAACAGAATGAAAGTAGAACCGAAATGGCTTATGGTTAACCACTTCTGTGAAACTTATAGAACCAATCACTCATGGAGAAAAGGATTAGCATGAATGTGGAAGTTCGTGTCTCACGTCGGAAACTTGCAGCTGAGGCCAGTTTCGGGGCTATTGTCAACCGAAGGTTCTCCCTCGCTACGAGGGCCCAGGCGGTGAAGTAACCGCTCCTCCGTGCTGTTCGATCAGCACACGAGAGCGTGTGTGGGTGTTGGCTGCTCTCCATTTTCGCTGTCCCTGGTGGGAAAGGAACTTTCCAAAACCACGACTTTGTTCAGGGGAGCGTAGGGCCCCTCTTTTCTGAGATCACAGTATTTTGCCAGTCTCAGGGAAAACTTTTCACTTCCCAAGGTTGGCTGCGTTTCTCGGTTAACATGCCTGTTGATTTTAGACTTTAATTGGTTACAAGTTTGTTTTACTTCTTTTACTAACGTGCACTATGGGCCAAAATTATACTCACTGCATGAGTGCCTTTTCGTACGGACCTTTTGGATTTGATTACTTATACATTTCCTTCGTTGCCCTTCATACTTGGGGAGGGGGTACTGTGGTAGCCGATCTAGTTTTCAATTAAAGACCTAGCATAAACAGCAAAATTGGTTTGCAGCGCTAGTTGGCTACTGTTTAAAAGGATGAATTCCAACAAAATGAAGGGAACGTGATTCGAGAGTCGCCACAGACGATTTGAATTTTCAGTAAAATTTACTTGGGAGGGAGTAACGGGCAAGGAG